CATCCTGGATTATCTGCCCCCCGACGACGCCAACACCCGGAAGAATGTGCTGTACAAGACCCTGTTCGATGGCTTCGCTAAAATCGACGGCCGACTGACCGACGCTGAGCTCAAAGTAAGGGAGGAGCCTTCATAAGGATCCCGGCCTTCCTCCCAAGGAAGTTTTGTGCCCGTGTGGGTGTTTTGTGGGTCTGCATGGTTCATTCTGAAAAGCCCTGGCCCGGTTCTTAGAGGTCCAAGTGTGTGCAGACGTTTCATGACCCAGCTAGGTTACATCGTCAGTCTTAGAAGGGAGTGGGGCTAGGTGAATGGAGGAGGACAGGGGGCCCTTGGTGCTCTCTGAGCTTGGTGGCTTTCTTGCAGACGTTTCATGACCCGGCTAGGTGGCCTCATCAGTGCTAGAAGGAAGGGGGGTGCAGGGGGGAGGAGGTGGAGAGGATCCCCATTCTACAGGAGCCTTCCGTGCCGTGCCTGGTGCTGGCTCAGGGGCTCCACGGTTGTCTGAACAGGCCCAGAAGAAGTCAGCGACTGAGGAAGCAGAGAAGGAGAAGAAAGATGAGATCAAGGCCTTGCAAGGTCAAGTGGCAGCCCTGAAGGAGATGCAGACGGACGCCCAAGCCGACAAGGTATCCAGGGGCATCCGAGGCGGCCTGACACAACGCCCATCGTCCCCAGCCAGCATGGGTCTCGCCAGATGTTTCCCTCCAGCACATCTGTGGGCTGTCAGCCTGAGCAGGGCAGCTCCTGCCTCCTGCTGTTGCTCAGGGGGGGGCCTAAATTGTCAGCTGCCATGCAGGTTTCAGGGGTACCCAACGGAACCCCCTTTTCTGCCCTGTTAATTGAGGTGGCTGTCCGCAAAGATCCGGCCTTTCTGTTGCTTCTGACTTTCTTAATTTCTTTTTAGGAAAAAGACAGGGATTTGCAGAAACCATCCAAGAAGGCTGCCCAGCCCGTCCCGGCGGATCCCCTGGATGACCACTCGTCGGTTGCCAACTACCTGGACAAGTGAGGGACGGGATGGCCGGCAGGCAGTTAAGGCCAGTCTCCCTGCCTTTAAGGGGGGGGCGAGCATTCTTCCCCTCCTGCTGGGTGGACAAACCATACATTCAAGCTAAGCTGGTTTATTGCTCCTACAGAACCTAGTCCAGCAGTGGTCAGCACTAAAATTGGCACTAGAGAAGCGTCAACGGAATTCAAGATGGGTTGGGTCTAAGATCCTTCCTTCCTTCCTTCCTTCCTTCCTTCCTTCCTTCCTTCCTTCCTTCCTTCCTTCCTTCCTTCCTTCCTTCCTTCCTTCCTTCCTTCCTTCCTTCCTTCCTTCTTTCTTTCTTTCTTTCTTTCTTTCTTTCTTTCTTTCTTCCTTTCTTTCTTTCTTTCTCAGAGGATCCTGACTCCCAAAAGGGCCTCAGCAACTCCTGGGCCTTAATTTGTCGTTCTCCCTCTTCTTCCTCCCTCCTCTCCAGCCTCTGCATCTTTTGTGGGGAGAGAGACGACTCCTTCACCGAGGAAGGGCTGGACCTCCACTACTGGAAGCACTGCCCCATGCTGACCAGGTGTGACTTCTGCAAGCAGGTGAGCCCTCCCACCTCCCCCCAGCCGCTTCCCTCCTGGAGCTGCGGGGGCTCCGTCGTCGCTGGAGGTTTCAAGGGGAGGTTCGACTGCCGTTTCTCTCCGCCAGCCAGCCCGCCCGCCCTCCCGCTCGCTCGTTATTCCGCCCTGTTCATTTTGCAAAACAAAAACACCCAACCTGTTTGCAAACCCGGTCTAGGCTAGTTGCTCACAGAGACCTGGCCCCAAAGGGGTTGGGAACGGAGGCCTCGCTTCTTTGGGGGAGCCCAGGGGTTCCCTTGCCAGCCTGGGGAGACGCACACACACACACACACACACACAGAGATCTCGCCATCCTCTCAGGCCAAGGACCTCTTCTCTCTCCCCGGGCAGGTGGTGGAGATCGCCAGCCTGACCGAGCACTTGCTGACGGAGTGCGAGAAGAAGGACAACTTTGCCAAGTGTTCCCGTTGCTGCGAGGCCCTGCCGAAGGAGGAGCTGGCCCGGCACGCCAAGGGGAGATCCTGCAACCGTCAGTCCTTTTTTCTTTTTTTTCTTTTTTTGGGTCCGTACGGGACCCTTTGGGCCTCTGGGACCCTCCCCCAAAGGCTGACATCTGCCCTCTCTTCTCTCCAGCGGCCAAGTCTGAGAAAGTGGCCAACCGCTGCCCGTTGTGCCACGAGAATTTTACCCCGGGCGAGGAGGTGAGAGCTGTGGGCATGGAGGCGGGGAGGGAGGGGCCGCTCCTCAGGATAACGGAGTGGGGGGGAGGACCGGGGAAGGGTCCTCTCCCTGTCCTACAGGACCAAGGACGGGGCCTGACTCAGTGTAAGAGGGGAAGGGGCTATGGGACAGTCCCACTGCCACCCAGCCTCCCTTCTTCAGCTGTGGGTGGCCAGCCTGTCGTCCGCTGATCCTCCTCTTCCTCCTTCAGACCCTCTGAACCGTTTTTTCCCCCTCTCTCCCCCCCACTTGCCCCCCCAGGCCTGGAAGGTGCACCTGATGGGCAGAGACGGCTGCCGCGTGAACCCGAGGCGCATTCCTTCCCTGAACAAGAGCTTGCCCACGCAGACCGTCACCGGTAAAGACCCCCTCGTGTTTCTCCCCCCCCCCAAACTCATAAACTGGGGTGCCCTCATTTCTCCCCGGAAATTCAGGGCTGCCAAACGCACACCTGGCACTTCCGGCTGGGAATCCGTGTCTTACTAGCCCCCCCCAACCCCACCCCAGGTACTTACAGGTAGTCCTCGAGTTACGGACCTTGAGCCCATCACTGGCAGCAGACTTTGAATGGTGGAGACAGCAGCCTCCCCCCCTCCCCTTCCTATTTTCCCATCTCTTCCTCAGAGGGGTGCTAAATTCACACACAAACACACACCCTTTTCTCTTCTTTTTTTTACTTTTTCTTTTTGCAGGCCGGGCTGGCGGAACCGTCCTGAACCGGTCGGGGCCCCTGGGAGTGAAGCTGCGGTCGCCCACGGTGGGGAGCAAAATCCCCACCCCACGAGGAGGGTTGAATAAAAACACTGGCAGAACGTATGCAAAGCGATGACGCCGATCCCTTCTTTGCCCTCCCGCCCCCCCCAGGGGCCACGCGCTCTTTCTTCCGCTGCAGTAGGGCTTGTGGTAGGGGGAGGGCCCAGCAGCGGTCTGAAAGGGGCTGTCCTCTGCCAATCGCCCCCCCCCCCGCCTCTTATTTACAACATCTGCACTCCAATATCTATATAGGATAATGGGGTTGGAAGGGACCTTGCAGGACATCTAGACCAACCCCCTGCTGAAGCAGGAGACCTTATACCAACCCAGTCAAATGGCTGAAGACTCCCCCCCCCCAGGGATGGAGCACCCACAACACCTGGGGGCAGGCTCTTCCATTGCTTCACAGGTCTCACAACCAAGACATTTCTCCGTAGTTCTAGGTTGCTTCTCTCTTTAATGGTCTTCCATCTGATTCAAACATAGAATCCCAAGGCTGGAAGGGACCTTGGAGGTCTTCTAGCTCAACCCTCTGTCCATGGCAGGAGACCTTATCCCAGACACATGGCTGTCCAGTCTCTTCTTAAAAACCTCCAGTGACGGAGCAGCTACAACTTGGGCACCCCAAGATTGCACCCGTAAGGTGGGGCGGCGTATAAATTTAACAAATCAGTAAATATTCCCTGGGTGACAAATTAAAACCAAGGCAGAAAGCATATCAGAAGCTACTATCTCTGGCAGATAGTAGAGCTGTTAGAATTTGTAAGGTCTGTTGCTTAAGGTAGGAAGCATTAAAGGGCTTTTCAACACACTCCACACTCTTTGCCTGGAAGGCAGGCCAAACAGAGTCCTGCAAAGTAAAAATTAAAGCTTGCGAATGGCCAATTCCTTTTGGCAATGCCAGCCAACTCCTGACCCTAAGGGTCCAGTTTTCCCCATTGCCCAGCCTGGCAAATCTGAAAAAAATTTCCTTGCAGGCTTGATCACTGTGGTGTGCAGTCAAATCCTCAAAAAGAAAAAAAAATTGCACGGTTTTTTGGGCATTATTCTGGCTTTTTATGCCTCAAGGAGCGTGGTTGGGTGGGTTAATTGTGATGTCCCGAAAGTCACCAAAACGGAGTTAACTTGGTTCAGGGTTGCAGCCCTCTCAGGAGCCCATCCAGAGAAATGATCAGCAGTTCCCTTTTTTTGAAGGCAGGAAAGGTTTTATAAACAATTGAGCAAAGGAAGTAGAAATTATGCATAGAATCCTAATCAAGTAAAAAAAAAAATCTCTTCTTGGTCTTATATCCTTCCAAACCTCACTTGAAAAGACGGGCAGCGTTGTTTTGTTTTCTTTACAAAAGCTTTTTTTTTTTAACAAATGGATTTGTATCTCTTTGAGGTGTCTCAACCAAGGGCTTATGCACAGGTTTCTGAAATGCATCAATATATAGAAAAAATACTGTTTTCTGACACATACCTCAGTCTCCTTATGCCATCTCCCCATCCTATCTTAATTTGCTCAGGACAGGCAAGAATCTTATTTTAAGAGGGTTATTAAAACAAACCAGGTTGCAGGAAATCAGCATTCCTTTTTTTAAAGGGCAGTTGCACTCCCTGAAGATCAGGGTTTATGATTTGACTTGGGGGGGGGGCTCCAGCGAGCCCCTTTGTCTTGGGTTGGGGGTCCACATGTAGGAATTGTAACTTGAGCACTTTCTATTATGCCGTGAACCCGCTTGCTATTTACGGTCGTCTAAGACAAAACAGTTGGGAAAGAAAGTTTATGGAAAAATGGAAAATCAAAAGCGATCTTCTCCATCATCTACGGGCCTTGTGTAGAAATCTCTGGCCCGTCTCAAAGTTTGAAAAGCACATTTTTTTTGAGGGGGGGGGATCCTTTCAATTCGCCAAAGTGGAGTCCTACCTCAAAGGAATCGGTGAAGTCCTTGAGGGATGGGGGCCGTTTTTATTCCGACTGTTTTAAGAGCAAATAAGCTGGATAGCAGGTCTGATTCCAGAATTCTGCTGGCACCCTGCTACGTAGAATCACGTTACGCTCCTGTTTGTATTTAACTGATAATAAAAGCTCTGAATTTCAGCTCATGGGTGTCCGGTCCTTTTTATATGTCTGTTTTCTGCTCATCCGGTTTTTTTTTATTACTGTTTTTGCAGCATCATTCTCGGCTCAAAAGGAAGATTACAAATTGGTGTTTTAGAACCAAGAGCCATTTGGGTATCGCGCTTAAGGCATCAGGCTAGAAACCCGGCGACCGAGAGTTCTAGTCCCACTTAGACACAGAGTCAGATGGGTGAAGTTGGGCCAGTCCCTCCCTCTCAGCCCTAAGAAGGAAGCAACAGCAAAGATGAAATTCTTGCCTATAAAACAGCAGCCATTTGTCCACGCAGGGACCCAACAAGCTAACCTCTTCAGGGCTAGAAGGGAGTTGGGTGTGAGGAGAGGAGAGGAGAAGAGGACTGAGGGGTCCCTGGTGCTCTCTGAGTGTGGTTGTTTCCTTGTAGACATTTTATGATCCAAGTAGGCAAAGTTATCCGTGCTAGAAGGGAGGGGATGGTCTGTAAAGAGGAAGAGGAGGATGGGGGACTATGGGGTCCTTGGTAGTTGTCTTGCAGACGTTTCATGACCCAACCAGGGAACAGATTCAGTGCTGGTGAAGATGGATCTACAGAAGCACCGACAAGGCTCCCCAGTTGGGTCATGAAACATCTGCAAGAGGACAGCCAAGTTCAGAGAGCACCGAGGACCCTACAGGACAAGATCCCCATCAACAAGGTGGACAGATTCAATTATAGCAGTGAGGAGACGCCATTGGAAGACCTGGAGGACCAGGTAAGAGACGGACCCTTCTGGAGAAGGTCTATGGGCTTGCTTGGGATCAATGCTGGCTAGGTTAACCCAAAAGATACCATGATGGACGGAGTCACCATTAGAAGACCTAGTTGGGACACGTCACCCTGGAGAAGGTCCGTGTGGGGCTTGGCACTTGCTTGATGCCACTAATCCAGGGGTCTCCAAAATGGGCAACTTTTAAGACTTGGGGACTTCAATTCCCAGAATTCCTCGGCCAGGGAATATTTATTGATTTGTTTGTTAAATTTGTTTCGTTGCTCTGATCAGCCATTAGGAAGGAGAAGCGGAGCACCAGCAGCAACACTGGAAGGAAGACCTGGGACCAACTCGGGCACAGATCAGTGAGGGCAGAAAAATCTCTTTTAAGGTCTTGAAAGGTTTTAAGATGGATGGACTTCAACTCCCAGAATTCCCCAGCCAGGAAGTCCGCCCATCTTAAAAAACAGCAACAGCTTGAGAAGCATCGCTCCTAAAATGTCTCGGCGCCTGCGCAAAAGAAGCCGAGCGGGGGGGAGGGAAATCGGCGTGACGTAGCGGGAAAGAGGGCCGTAGAGGACGTCATCCGCGCGCGCCGGAAGCGGCCGGCGCAGCGAGCAAACATGGCGGCGCCCGGGGGAGCCGAGGAGGGCTGGCCCGAGCTGGCGGCGGCCGTGGCGGGCGGGCGGCGGGAGCTGCGGCTGGAGGCCGGCGAGGCGCT